TTTCTTCTCACGTTCGATAATGATAGGTATCGTTTTTGGATAACGATATATCCACACAGTTTCATTCATATCGTGAATACCAAGTCGCTGAAGACGTTCATAGACGAATACGTACAAAGAATCAGCTACCACATTTCTATCAACTATATTGCCTGACCAGAAGGGCAAATGATGCAAATATTTACCGAACATCAGTTGGGAAAATTTAAAGTACATTGGCGTGTTTAAAATGTGCGCATGCCATGCCTTATCAATCATCTCCGAGGGTTCGCCATTGATTCCGTTCTTTACAGCAGTATAAAAGTTTTCAAGTTCAACAATTGTGTTGAGCGCATCTTCTTTATTCATTCCATCTCTAGTTTATAAACGTTCATTGAGATATCGAATGTCTTCGTCTGGAATGGCAACTATATCATAACAAGTGGAATAGAAGATGGTGAACAAACATATGAAAAGACAAATTTCGTTTGTAAACGCCATATCTTTCTGACAGCAGTCAAGAACTATCAAATGGAAGTACCTGTCATACGTATTGAGTTTTAATATTTGAGTTTAGGAGAATGCCTTTTGTATAAATATATGGAAAAATGTCTCCTATTTACAACTTCGATACCATACTTCCTTTGTTTAGCGCCCTTTTTGTTTACGTGACTTTTTATGAAAAATTGCGATTAGACTTTTATTCGTGTAAAGGTCTAGAATAAACCTTTTCGCGAAAAAATGACACATCTCTTCGAGACGATTGTTTAAAGCTTAGAAAGGTTATCAAAGAGAAGAGATCGTATTTCACGATTTCACTTCCTGCCTGTGCTATTTATATACTCATATAAATACGGCGTGTAGTTGAGTAGACATTCACAAATAAGAAAGTTCCTTATTGCCAGTGCTTTACATCGACGTCTTTGCTCATTTCAACTGCAATACAAGCTGAGCAAATGGCCGTTTTCATGCTTCCTAAGTACATGATTCTGATAGTGGCTGTGATGTTGGCCGTGGGATGTTACTCTATCGTGGATGCATCTCGTCGTGACGAGATCAAAGCTCTCTTGACTGGCATCGAGGTTGTAGGGACAGTGATCAAGGCCAAAGCTGGTTGCGGATGGGTAGGATGCATGACCACATGCCAATCCTGTGGGGTTTACGCATAAAGTTGCGACATATTTCTTCGCAATTCTCGAATAAAAAACATTTTACTGATTTATTTATACTCCTGATTTCTACTTTTTTTAATCTTTTGAAAATAAACTCGAAATGATCGATACATATGCTGAGAAACGCATGATTCAAATCCCGATAGTATAGTGACCTTCACACATTAAATTATTAAGATTCTGAATGAACCAACGGTTTCCAACTGTTCGAGTTAGAAAGTCTCAACGTGCTGGTATCGCCATCGAAAATGAACAATATTATTCTTTTATCAAAAAATCTTTTTAATGCATCGATTGAGTTCCAGCCGTTCTTAGCGAAATTTTGCATAAATTCAGGGTAACATTAAGTTATAATTTCAACAAGATTGAGTTGGATGTGAATCTTCACACTCTTGCAGAATTTTATAACAGATATCCATCACTGACAACAGAACATGGTAAAGAACTTAATTGCGAGGGAAATCGAAACCATAAGATTACGATTTTAATTATACTGAATATTGATCTAAAAGTTTTGTTATCTAGAGGAAGATTTTTTATGAGAATCACTTTTCAGCTAGACAACGTTTACCACTGCACATTCAAATATTGCTGATATCACTCAATGTTCATTATCATAATTTAGTTTTACAAAAAACCTAGCTTTGGAAAAGTTATGTTGATTATTACAAAAGGACAGAATGTCTGTGAAGTGAATCTTCTCTTAAGCTGATTAATAAATGTGTCTGGTTAATATGCAGAAAGATATCGAAGACGTGGTGTGTATTGGATCAGATGAGATAATTCACTCGAACGACAACCTATACTCGGGATAGTTAGATAGTTAAGCAACGAAGAAATTATTTCTGGCATAGAAAATTCAATATCATCATCAGAATTGATGGTCAGATAACAGTAGATTAGTTTGGATAGACTCCAAAACGTTTACAATGTTACAATTTGTTTATCGTTGTGACAGAAATCAAATCATGCAAGTTAAGTGTTCGTAAATGAGTAGATTGACGAAGAGTAAAATCTTGAGCAACGAAACGTACTGTTTGTTGTGAATTCTCGTTATCAGAGAGCAAAAAAAAAGTGTAATGATTCGATTGGCGATCGATGGACATTAATGTTGACAAAGAGCATCCATGTCACGTTTTGATACCGATCGTAAGTCAAATCCACGAATACAAATGTGATCGAAAAGAAGCATATTAAAGCGATGGTTAAGTCCATACCCAACTAGCCATCCGATGGGTATTTTGACGCGTCGATTTTGACTTCCGTTGGGCATCGAAATTTCAAATCGACCCCTGGGATTGCCATTTTCCGATGGGTCGAGGGCTCGGCGATAGGTTGTTTTCACTAGCAGTTTTCAACCACTCGAATGATCGTTTCCGATGGATCGGAATTTCATCGAAAAAAAGGATTTTTGTCCGATAGATGTCTCAATTTCGAGTTGTCCAAACCCATAGAATATAAATTTCGAGTCGTCGAAACCTATCGAATATATGCGGAGAAGTAGATTTGAACATGGGTACTTACGATGCACTTACCTCGAACAGTTGATCTAAATATGAACTGTTATTCTCGTATCAAAACGACCTTTTTAATTCATAAGAAGATAGTACTTTTTATTTTTCATGCTTCCTAACTTTTAATTTTATTTTTTGGAAACTGAAAGTAATATTTTTGGTCAAGAGAGAAAAACTTCGCTTAAACATTAGAAATAATATTTTTCATCCAGAAAAAAAGATTATTTTTTTGAACAATAAAAATAATATTTTTTATCGAGAAAAATTTTTTCATGAAAAAAATTTCATCAAGAAAGAAAAACTTTTTATATCTCTATAAGTGACACAAGAACTTCTTGTAATTTATGACTTCGTATAGATCACTTTTTGAATAAATATAACGTGCAATATGTGATGATCATCCAATTTGCACGCGAAATCATGAGGTCAATATTAAGTAATTTTTTTTTAAATTCACAACGTAAAAATTCATTATTACTATGTCTTAGTTAAAACACAGGTGAATATTAGTTTTTATTTTCATCCGGTGGACGATAAATTTTGATTAGAAAATTGTAAAAATAAGGTTAATTATGAAGCAAACTCGAATAATTCTACTAAAATTATTGGATAAAAATAAAGTATATGTTAAAATCGAATTTTGAAGAAGTTTCACATGATCAAGATTATAGACTCCTCGATCAAAGCTGTTATTATGATCGGTTTGACTCTTTTGAAGCACTCAAAATGATCCTTTCAATATGTTTGTTTTAGTCGAATGATTATAATGTGTTAGAGGAGTCGGTAGTATTATTTCGATAGGTGACTTCTCTCGGAGTACTCGAAACTTCGATAAGTACCGAGGTGTCGAAATATATGCGACCAGTCAAAAATGAGTCGTCGATAGGACACAGTGTCCGAGTGCTCGAAATTCGATGGGTGCCGAGGGGATCGAAATTGAAACAGAACGAAAAAAATATATATATATCAAATTTTCGACCGCTCGTCGCACCCATCGTATGCTTTTTTTGGTCTGCTTGGGTAGAATGAATAAAGAAATTGAGTAGTGGAGAAACATTCGAACACATCAAGCAATAACTCGTTTGCCAACGGTTCGAAAATCATTTCTTTCGTTTCTTATTCACTTCCAGTTTGATTTGTCAACGAATCGATAAACTCAAAAGGCGAAAATATGATATACTTTTGTATCGGACTGGTAGAAAGAAAAAGAAATGGGATATCAACGGTTCTTTTCTTTCTGCTTACTTTTTATCAGGCTACATACTTTTATCTCTATTCAAATAAATAGTGAAAGATGAATGATAAAAAAAAGCTGTGTCGTGTCTCACACTCACTCGCTTCAGCATGTTAGTGGAGTATTACTGCCTTGTGATGGAGAAATTTTATTGTCGAAGTAAGTAATCAAGCAAGTAGTTCCACTTTCTTAATAATCGATCTTAATAATACGTAGAATAAAATCTCTACTGTTGGATTATAGAGTATGAGTGTTGAAGTTGATCTTTCCTTCATATACGTCCATATCTACATCTTAATTAAATTGATAAATATAGAAAATGTGCTGTGATTATGAAATAAAATATCTACTTATTCAAACAAATTCTAATCATTGGAATGTAACCATTATGGGAGTAGAAGTTACAATTCGTCTCCTGAAAAAGTGAATGTTAAGAAAATTCGATACTGTTAGCGGTTGTCCTTTTGGATCAACGCTAAGTTCGTTTTCTTTTCTTTAACGGAAAAATATGTATATGTGTGTGTGTATACGTACACTTGCACACCGTCTTTTATTTATCTGTTTTAATTGATGGAAAACACGTACATATATAGTGAGCGAGAAAAAGCGAAAAAGAAAAGAGAGAGAGAGAAAAAAAGAAAGAGAACAAAGACTAGATATATCACCGAGAAAGAAATGAAAACGAAATAAAAAATAAAATAATATAATTGAAAATAGATGGCAGTTGTATCAGTGCAACAACACTGTAACATACTCCCATATTGGACGAAAAAATGTGTCCTATCAACATTTTTTCCCAGAGAGGACTAATAACGATAAATATCATAACAATAAATGAAATAACAAAGTAAACAATCATAACTATTTTTTTTTTAGATGCACGAGAATAACAACAAAAAAATAAACGCAAATGAAAAAAAATTTTGTTTTTTTTAAAGAAAGGTATAACGATCAATATAAAAAGTAATGTCAACAAAATATAATGATATAAAAAAAAAATGTTTCTTATTTATTTATTTTTCTTTTTTAGTTTCTTTTTTTTCTGTTCAACTGCACCAGCTCGACTAACAAGTGCTGTATATGTTAAATTGATTTATTTATTTATGATTTATTTGATGCACGACGACGATAATAATTATTTTCACGACAATGACGACCTGCATGATGATGAACTTTATATTTAATTTGTTGATAATGTTCACTGGTAAATAAAGTTTTAATTTGAACTTCATATGTTTCTAATTTTGATGTATCCTTTATACGAATACGTAATGTACGTTCATGAGTAGTGGATGATGTTGAGAAATTAATAGCTGTAAATGAAATTCGATGTTGTCGAAGAATGTCTTTTATATTTCGAATAGTAAATCGTTTATCAATATTTCGGCATTTAATTTCATGTTGATAATATCGTTTACGTTGTTTAAGAGTGCATGCACGATTATGTATTTTATGTTTTTCTTCTTTTGTTAATTGTCGAGTACGTTGTTGAGATTCAGTATTGATTAGATTAGGTTCAACAGGTGGTGTTTGTATAAGTTGTGGTTCATTATTATTATCTGACATATATTCATCTGGATGTGTTGATGATTCAACAGGTTCACTATTATTAAATGATAGTATTTGTAATTCATAATTTGGTGCTTTTGTTGTTGTTGATGAAGTTATTGTAGCTTGTTGTTCTTCAAATAATTCTTGTTCATGTTCGTTGTCATCATGTAACATTAATTCTAAATCATTATTTATTTTTTCTTCAATTGTTAATGATTGTGATGATTGTTGATTAATCATATTCATAGAAATAAGAAGTTGATACATTGCATCACAATCATTTGCAGCATACGAAGTTATTAATTGACGATATTGTAATTCACTAGAATTTAATTTAATTAATTTGGGGTCCAATCCGATATCAAATGGTGAACGTGTATGACGTTTATCTAGCCATTTGTGTAATTCATATCCTGTTGCATCTTGTATTGACCACGGATTGTTTTCTTGTATGCCAATACATGCTTCACATATACATTTTTTATTATTTGTTGATGATGTTGAAATATGTGGATGATGTTCTTTCCAATATAATTTGAATTCCCCTTGTAAATTAATATTGTGTGATAAATAAATTTGATCATATGTGAATAAATTAAATTCAGTAAATTTTGTTAGTTCATCAATTTCACCCCATACATAAATTATATTTTTTGCTTGAAATAATAATTCAAATAGTTGTTGAATTAATAGAAAAGTTGAAACATGTGATCGTGGAAGATGATGAACTTCAATAAGTAATATATATGAATTTAAGTCACGTGTGGTGATTTGTATTTGAATGAGTGCTGGTTTATTGGGCCTTTTGTATACACCTACAGATTCTGTATCGATGATAAATAATGTAGATGAATTAATAATTCGAATTAATTGAATTAATGTTTCTTCTGTTGTTCTATAATTAATAAAAATTAATTCATAAGGTGATGGTTCAAATGGTGGATAATTTGAAGCATAATAATGTTCCATAAGTTTTTTTCGATATGCTTGACGAATATTTCTTCGAGGTTGTCCAGTTATTGATTTTGGAATGTTGTTGTATTTCCATAATGTATCGTCGTATTCTTTTTGTGATAACATTGCTACAATAGAAAAAAATATATAATGCATATTAAATATCGATTCTTTCGAAAATGAATCTTAAGGTATTTAATAATCAATCTAGTTTTTTATGAAACTAGAAATATAGTATGTCAATCTCAATGGAGTACGAAATGTATTTCTTTTCGATTCTCAGTGGCCAGGTGAGGATCTAGTAAGAATAGATTGAATAGTAATTGTATCCAATAATTAAATTTCGTATAATAGAATAATGAATTATTAATAAACAGGTACCAAATTAAATGTAATAGCCCTTCACAATCAGTGAGTGGGGGAAAGTCACACTCCCCGACTATGCTATGCTAGATTAGATCCAATTAGATTAGTTGATTAATAAATAATTATTCCATTTAATTTGACATATTGATATTACGGATCTCTTTGGTAGAGGTCCTATAATTAATAAATTCGTTCAAATATTGGTAATAACACGTCGGTTGTAACTTGACGATATAATGTTGATTTTTTGACGTGTTGAACGATAAATGTTTTGGGTGTAATTGTTTGAATGATCCTAAATGGTCCTTCATAACGAATATTAAATTTATAACGGATGTTGAGTGTTTTCACAAGAACTAAATCACCAATATTATATGAGGGATTCGAACGATTTATATCGTATCGTTGTTTACACTCTAAAAAAAATCGGTTTCTTACCGAACCCCCAAAAAAGGTTCCGGAGATGTCTAAAAGCA